AAGAGGAACCCTGCTCCACTGCTGGTGGGAGTGTAGACTGGTGCAACCACTGTGGAAATCAGTATGGAGATACCTCAAAGAACTAGGACTGGCAGTCCCATTTGATCCCGCTATTCCCCTGCTGGGGATCTTCCCCAAAGAATTAAAAGAATCATACCACAGTGATATATGCACACCCACGTTCATAGCAGCACAGTTTGTAATAGCTAAAACTTGGAAGCAGCCCAAATGCCAATCAACTGGAGACTGGATAAAGAAAATGTGGTTTTTTTTATAAAATGGAGTACTACTCAGCCATCAAAAATGAGAAATTGGAGACATTTATTGATAAATGGATGCACATTGAGGTGATACTCTTAAGTGAAATAAATAGGACACATGTGTAAATACTGAATAGTTTCTGTAGTGTGAGAAACAAAGTATAAATAAGAACTAAAAGTTATAATAGATAATGTGAAATAGGAAGAAAAGGGGCAAAGGCGAAGGGGAAGTTGGAGGGGTGGGTGAAACGAAGGAAGGGAATGGAATTAATATGAGAAAATGAGAAAAGGAAACAAAGTCTTTGTAAATAGGGAGGGAGGGGTTGAAGGGAGGGCAGAGGAAGGGGGAAAAAAATAAGAACCAAGAGAATATGTAAAGGTGCATATCTCCAATGATGAATGTCATTATATTATACACCTACAATATACCAATAAAAGGATAGACAAAAAAAGGACAATGATTTATGACTTAAAAGATGACAGAAGTAAAATTGTAACAATAACAAGTCAGGAAGGAGGTAAATAGGATTAAAGTGATCCAAAGCACTTGTGTAATTCAAAAGGATGGAAAAATTATATACTCTAACCTATAGGAAATTAGTTAGGGTTGGTAGTTACTGAATTATCACTGAAAGTAAAACTGGGGTCGGGCTGTGTAACTTCTAAACAAGTAAAGAAAAAAAATATACAAAATGGTATGTTTAAAAGACGACAAGAATGAAAAGGAGAAGCACAAATTAGACAGGACAAAATAAGATCCAACAGCAGAACACTCGAAATGAATTAACTACTACCATGTGGGGAAGAAATGGACTCATCACACAAATATAAAATTGAGCCAAAAAATACAAAAATCACACAAAGCGACCATCTACCTATCCAGCATTTTAAAATAGGCTATATCGGGAAACCTAGATATGTGGTAAACTAGTAAGGAAAGCATGGAAATTATTACCAAAGTCAGGGAAAAGATCAAAACTTGGGGGGGGCGGTGCCCTGGAGCATGTACCTTCCAGTTCTAGGGTATAAAAACATGGACGATTGCTTTATAGTGATCCATTAAACTGCTTGCCGTTTAAATTGCCTGTGTCAATGCTTAAAATAAAGTTAGCCAAGTAGCACAACTGCACTGCCCCCTAATCTAACCAATAACTTCAACTGTGTTTTCTTCTTACCCTCCACAGACATTTATCCATGGGTTTGTCCTCCTCGGCAGCTTCCTGATGTATTTTGTGGTGTCCCTAGTGTACAGTGCCATCTGTGTCACCTGCAACAGTCCCACCAACCCCTACTGGGTGATGCAAAACCAGCTCTCGGACCCCACCTTCTACTTCATCTGCGTCCTCACACCAGTTGCAGCTCTTCTCCCAAGGTTTGAGCACTGTGGTTAATTCCTTTCTAGAACTACTAATCTCCCGGCAATAAGCAATTTTTAGAACCTGAGTCGTGATTTGACTCTTGACAGGATCCTTGAGGCTGTTTGGGCAGAGAAAAGAGGCTAGGACAGAAAGGACAAGGAGTAGGGCAAAAGGGACATGGATCCGAGTCCCAACCCTGCCATGGCCTCCATTGCAACATCTATAAAATTGGTTTAACACTTTAAATCTTTCTGGCTTATAAATTTTGTTGTGTAACAAGGAAGCCTTTTGAAAACTTCTGTGGTCCTTTATTTATTAGTTGTGGGATCTCTCACCAAATGCCTACAGGGACAGGCAAACCATTGCAACAAGCAAGTGAAGTCCAGATAATGGAACAAAGAATTCCTTAGATTCTTCCTATCATTGCCACAAGGAGAGCTCAAATGAAGCATTCCAGAGCTTCATTTTCCCAGGAGTTTAAATTTTACATGAAGTCTTTGACTTTTAATCTTATAATATACATAACACACAAAACTTTGTTAGCTAAATAAATCAGTGGCCTACAGACTGCTTCTGATGCTTCCAACACTTTCACCTTTCCCAGAAGAATAGCAACAGCAATAATGTCTTGCCTTTCTAGGGAACCTGCCCTTGACATTCACTCTCCTGTATACCCTCACACAGTATTGACTTTTCCCATCAGCTAAGAATTAAACAGAACTCCAGTTCTAGTCCTACTTGTTCATGAGACAGCTGAAGTTCCAGGAAGAACCAAAATGTGTCCACACCTCAGCACAAATCACAGTGAAAGCTACAATCTTCTGATTCGGAGACCCATGTTCTTTTTTCCAGCAAACACTCTTATTAGAAAAGTTGATGAATTTGGTTGACAATGATGAACTCATAGACAAGTGTCACTTTTTCTCCATCCTCATGGTCTCATCACTCTGAACAACATTAAAATCCAGCCACTTAACATTATAAAGGTATATTCAGTGGACGATCTCAACATTGGAGAGAACTTTCTCTTCTCAAAATTAGGCAGAAAACTCCCAACAACTTTGCTTCCTTTAATAAGTTTCTCTGCTTGCTTAACCAATGTTGGCCTCCATTTCCTCTTTCTAAACCACCTCACAACCTTGACCCCAGATGCAGAGTTGGAATCTAAAAGCACAAGACGGCAAACAGCACTATGCCCAGTGAACACCGAGAACAGTAGTTGAGGTCTAAGTATTTGCTGTGTGCACAGCCTCCTTGTTTGGTTCCTACAGGTCATGGCAGCCTCATCTCCCTATCCTTGCTTCAAATTTTGGGTTCCACACCACCAAGCTTCCTGTACCACCCCCATGACCCTAGGCCCTCTCACCTCCTTGCCTTCTCTCAAACTGGCCTATTTGTAATGTTCTTCCTCTTACCAAACTTCTTCCCCTTTTGACATTATGTTAAGCATGACCATTTGCAGAAGTGCTATGGCTTCCTCTACCTTCCTCACGCTGAAACAGATCTCCTCTCATATATTCCATCACCTGAGTGTATCTCTGTCACAAGCTTTTCCCCCTGACTAGAAAGTGTCTGTCCATCTCTCGCTGACCATCAGTTCCTGAAGAGAAGGGATCCTCACCTCTATGGAAGGATCTCCTAGCACACTCCCTGTCACATAGTCTTCCCTCAGCTGAAATAGCAGATGCTGAAAAAAGATTAATAAAACAGGGCCCTTCCTCTTAGGAATTCTATAATCCAATGGATGATTTCAATATGTCTGCCCATAGTACAGGTAATATTGAGTGGTCTTAGCAGAGAGACATGAGAGTATAGCCTGGGAATAAATGAAGCCTCAGGGGACATATTTCCCACCCTACTCCTTCAGTGTTACCCCTAGGAGAAAGACCCTGAGAAGGACCGTGAGAATCATGGTCTGGTTGGCATAAGGTATCAAATATGTAGGTAAACATTTTTGTTCCCCACTTTTGAGGTTAAACACAATTGTGATCACCACCAGCTAAGGACTGAGCTCTTTTATTCTGATTGTTATTTGGGGTATGGAAAAAGAAATTTGTAAGCCCTATAGTCCTTATCCGTGTCTTACTAGAAAACACACTGGGAGCCAGAGTCTACGAGGCTGAAGTAGCTGTTTAATGAAGATCCTTGGAAAGTGCACAAAGACTATAGTAGATGTGTGTGTACTGAAAGACAAGCACTCCACCTGACAGCTTGTTGAACAGATGAGGGACAAGTTATGGAAAAGTTAGCAAATATTTACTTGGTAATTAGCATAATGCATAGGTTAAATCTTTTGTTTATTCTGCATTATCATAATACAAGTTGAATTTTCATTCAATTCTATTGACTAAGAAAGGCAAAGAGATTTCTTCTCACAGTGAAAGGATTATTTTAACAGTTGTAAGGACTGCTGACTTGGAACAATTCCTATTTGTTTATAGAGATCTACATGATAGAATGTTTGATGTAGAAAATGATATTTGTTCACTTAAAGTTGTAAGCTCCATTTATCATAATGGAGATTGATTGTACTCACCAAGCTTGTGGTAATTAGTTCTCTAACCATGACTTCACAAATCATGATCTTAATTCAACCAGAATATGAAAACAGTACAAATTCCCTTGAATTAGAAACAAAGATGCATATAAATCATTTTATAGAAAAAACAAGTAAATAATGTACTAGCCTTAAAACCCAATACAGCCTATTAGCTAAAGTAGAAGGCAGTAGTACCTGGGCCCTCTTCCTTTGGCTTTGGTGAGCTCACACATTTAGTTGGGGTTTTCTTTTTCTACTTCTCTCTTCTTTCCTTTGCTGACTTATATCCTTGATGTGGTATATATTAATCCTTGATCTGTTCTCTTGTATTCTAACTTTATATTCAGTTCATAAGCATGGCAATCACTATTATGGATTTTAAAATCATATGTAACAGATGAATCTTCACTACAAATTCCCAACCCTAACCTCTCTTCTGAACATACCTTTCAAACACGCCTTTCTAACTACCTATTCATCACCTCCACTGGGCATATGAAGTCTGAGGGAACTGGGAAACATCTGTAATATAATTTGTGATTTCCTTCTTCCATCACCACAACCATCCCAAAAACCTGGTCCTCATCCAGATTTCCTTTCAGCAAATGCTACCAATTCAGGACTGAGGCAGATTTATGGACGTTGTCCTACACATCTTCTGCTGCCTCATATCTACCTCTTGCATAGCACCAAGACCTGAAAATTCTACCTACTAAACACTTTTCAGATGTATCTGTTATTTCCATTTCTATAGTTACCACCATCAATAGGTTATGTCCCTTTCACCCCAAATTAATTCAGTATTCTCCCATTGGGTCTTTTATTATGATCCATTATGGTTTATCAAAGTGTGATCATGTCACCTATTTATAACCCCTAATGGCTTCCCTGGGCCTTTATAATAAAATTCAAACAGCAAAACATGGCCCCCAGTACTTGCCTACTGTGCTCCTCTCAGCCCCATCTGGGTCATATTTCCCCTCTCTCCATATGACGGCCATTGTGCCTGGTTATGATTCTTGCCTCTTTGCCTGCCTGTATCTATATTGCCCAAAATTCAGTCTTCAGTTTACATGCTTCTTCTCAAGGAGATTCTCCAGACAAGATGTTGTCACTCTCTGGACTCTTCTATTTATAACTATATATCCATGTATTACATGAAAACAAGAATTGTTTGTCCTGTTTGAAACTTAATCCTGTGGCCCAGGGCCCATTGTGAGAGCTTGACAAGTATTTGCTGGATAAATCAATGGAAGAGAAAGGAAAAGGTTGGTGGCTTGTGGGTAAGGTTTAGTGTCGGGGCAAGAAGACTACTCTCCTGAAGCTCAGACATCGTCCTCTATTACCTTACTGGCAGGTTGAGAAAGAATGACGAAAAATTTATCTGACTGTGGGATCTACTGTAGTCTTCAGAAACCCATTGCCTACTGTGGGGTAACCATGAATAATGGAAGCTTTCTGCTTCTAAGGCGTTAAAAATAAAAATTTAAAGATGATCTTAGGAAAAGACCAAAGATGTCCTCTAGGATAGATTATTTTTTAGACAAAGAAACTGACTCCTGGATAGGGGATATGTATAACTTTCATCACAAGCTGATGTATGCTTCCCATATGCCACGTAGTTTTATTCCTCTTATCACACTTTCCCCTGATTGAATGTACTATTGACTAAGGAAGGCAAAGAGATTTCCTGAATGTACAACATGGAAAACATTGTAGACAGAGATAGAGACTCTCAATGTCAGGCTTCACCACAAGCTGCAAGTAGCTTGGCAGGAGGAAAGGAGTCCTGATTCAGTCAACACAAAGACCTCTTACTTCCCAAGAGTCCTTGGGAGTCTCACCTCATCACTTGAGCATTTAGTTTCTTGTCTGGAAAATAGTGACAATAAGTGACACCTTCAAGTCAGTGTGGTACATGGATTCTAGAAAAAGAACTATTTTAAAACGACTTAAATTATTAAGTTGCACAAAGGGTTAAAACTACAAAGTAATTAAATTTGCCAAAATGAGAGTAGATGCAAAATAGAGTGGAGTACCTTGTGCCTGGTATATGACAGACAAGTCTCTGGGTCCGGGGTGCTTTGTTCTGACCACAGCTCTGCCACTGTGTGGCTCTGGACAAATCACTGACTCTCCCAGTGCCTTCAGTGTCTGCATCTGTACAGAAATGAGGGTGTATATTTATGCATTGCTTAACAGGGGTACATTCTAAGAAATGCAGCACTAGATACTTTCTTCATAGTGCAAACACCAGAGTATATTGGTGCAAACTAAACTGGCTATGTCCCTAGGTGATATAATCTTATAGAACCGCCACCATATATGTGAGCCATCGTTGATGGAAACATGACCCATGACTATACCAACCACATGAATTGCAGAATGAGTTAACCATACAAAGGATTTATAATACTCCTGATGTTCAATAAACATTAGCTATTTTGTCACTGCTATGCTCCTCAACACCACAGGCCCCGGGCTTAGATTTGCTAGCCATCACTCAGGAGTGTAATACATAAGATCTTGCCCTAGGTAGGGACTTGGAGTCTAAGGCCTCTTTTAATGCTGAAATTCAAGGAGTCAACAAAAAAGAAAATATCTTTATCCTTTTATTTTCCATCAGGTACTTTTTCCTGTCTGTACAAGGGACTTATGGGAAGTCTCTGATCTCAAAAGTTGCGAAAATTGACAAACTGCCCATGGATAAAAGAACCCAGGAAATCCAGAGTTGGAGGAGCAAGCAGAGGACAGCCCCTGTAGCTGAGGCAGCTCAGCCTGCCCACTGCCCAGCACCGCCTGTCCCACAGCAGGACTTCAGAACCAGCACCCCAAAGAGCTCCAGTGCCCTCAAGCAGAAACACATGGAAGACTGGAGGCTCCACAGACAGAGAGGCAACAGAGAGTGCAAGGGAGAGGACCCATGCTTGGGGGGCCCTTCAGCTAAACTCTCATCTGGGCAGCACCTCCTGGAGCCTAACAGGACACTGGCTCCTGAAGCCTACTCAAGGGGTCAGATTGATGCACCCCGGCACTTGAACAGAGGCAGCCATCGCCGGTCCGAGAGCTCACTGACCATATGAGGGGCTGCAGCAATCTGGACAAACTCAGAAAAGGCCACTCAATCACTGACCCAGATCACCCAAGGCCCTCCCTCTCCATAGAGGAAAGAATTTCCCAGTCGTATTCTTTTCTATCAGACTTGATTTCCTAAGAGGAAGTCTTGGGTCCAACCAAGGAGTTTGACCAAAAAAAAAAAAAAAAAAAACTGAAAAACCAGTTGACCTCCAGCTTTTCTTTTGCTGCCAAGCAGCACACCTTGCAAACAAAAGTTTTTATAAGGAGACTGTTTCTGTTGCATTGAATTTTTAAATTTTTTAGCCCAAACACAGTCTCATGGCTTTCTAGATAATGAAAGCCTGCAACACAATGAAACTGGCCATGAGATTCCAGGAAGTATATCAACCCAGGCAATATCTCAGGAAGTTATTGGGCTTGTCAAACCATCACTTCACCCCTCAGTGCCAGGAGCTCAAGTTTCAGAAGGCTCTGCACACGAGGGCTTTGTCTCAAGGATACTGCAACGATGGCTGAGTCAGGCTCAACAGCCCCCCCATGACAGAGAGCTGGGTCTGCTTTTTGTCTCTAAGCCAAAGAAAAACCACATATACATATGAAAACTAGATTTGAATTCAGTGCCACAGATACTCTTGAGGGTCGTAGGGTCATACCTGCCTAGAGGCAGGAAGAATACACATGCTGAAGGGATGAGATCCCTGTCATACCTAAGGGACCCTAGGTCTCACCATACAAGGAATCATCCAAGAGTTTATAAGCACTCTTTCCTTAGATTTCTTTATTTTAAAATAAAATTACTCATCCTCATTCAGCCCCGGAACAAGAAAAACTCAAAGTTCTGGAGATATTAGCACATACACAGGCAGAATAGATCCATATGATAGAACTCAGCCCAAACAATGACATCTTAAGGGGTAGGGCTACTGTTACACCTCACACTCATTTAGCTCATTCAGAAATACAGTATCGCCACCTGGATGATACTGGCCATGCTTCAGTTACATTAAGAAGACTCTAATGGGGTGTCAAAAGAAAGTAGGTTTATGGTGGGCAGCAGTAACCCATTCCTAATCTTTTTAAGTCAGAGAGTTACTGACTTCTCCCCTCCTTACATTAGTGCCTATAAATTGAGCAGAAAGTGTGACAAATATTTGCGCCTATGAGTAATAGCCACCAGCCATGAGTTGCCTATCATTTGAGTAAAGATACTTCAGCAAAGATGCCCAAACTGACCTCAACAGTCAAGGTGGTCAGAGGCAGGCTGAGCTGGCCATCTGACCACTTCCTGGAAAATCCAGACTTAGCCATTTGAACATCATGCTAAAGCCCATACACTGCGTCTGCCTCACTGCCTCTGCCATATAATGGTGCCAGCACCAACCAGAAGTGGTACTCTGTGCATCCTCCATGAAGACAGATACGAGGGGAATAGAAACATACTAGGAAAAGCAGTAATCACCTTAATTGTTCCAAGTGAGAAAATTAGTCAAAACTTGGCCCTCATGGTCTTCCTTTCCCCATATAATTCCTGCCTACTGCTAATAGAGAGCCAGGTGGGAAGTGCTAAAGAACAGAACAGTGACCTCAGGAGATATGAATTTGAGTCTTTGCTCTAGCCCTGTATTCTTTGGGATCCAGGAGCCTTGAAGGAGGATGCCACACATGAAAATTAGGTTAGAATTGTCCTACCTCCCAAGTTTGGCATACACATCAAGTCTGAATTACATGAAATCCACCGGTGAGACTCTGAATGCAATAACACTCTGTAATAACACAAGGTATTTCTGCTTCAGAAATAAGGGGGAAAAGATGATGGGGAAGTTTAAAAATGGATGTGGCCTCTGCCTAAATGCCAGACTGTACCCAGTGTTCTGACGCTGCTCATTTTCTCACATGGCCAGCCATCCCAGTTTGCCTAGGACCTTTCCATTTTTACAAAGTTATATCCTGGGAAATTGGGCCAACCGGTCACCTACTCTTGCACTCTTTGTAAACCAAACCAACTGTGACCATCCACTCTGCTATCTTACTCAGAAGGAAAAGTTGTAACAACTATTCCTCTATAACACAATGCCAATGATTATACTTAGTACATTTTTATACATGCATGATCTTTTACTGACTGGATATTTTGTAGAAGAAAAAAATAAACATGGTTTCCATAGTTTCCTGTCAATTTGAAGTTATTATTTCTTTATATCATTGTCACTAGTTCTGAGTACTCTTTTATCCATCTATACCTCCATTCATCCATCCATTTATCCAATAAAGTTTAGTTCAATCCCTAACAGATACCTGGCAATGTGATAGGGCCTGTGAGGAACCTGACACCGTTCTTATAGAAGTGGTGGTGAACCTATGGCACACGTGTTTTCTTTTAAGACCCAAGATGTTAATGTGTGAGGTATTTTTTTCTAAACTAATACCTCAGTATTCAGGTTTAATTGCGGTGTTGGCACCTTGCAATAAATAAGTGGGTTTTAGGTTGCAGTTTGGGCATTTGTCTCAAAGGTTTGCCATCACTGTTCTAGAAGCTATTCTAGAAAGGTTGGTAACAGTGTAGGAGTGGCCTCAGGTGCATCCAAGGCCTGAGACTGACCTTTTCTGGGTATCTGAGTCTCCATCTCACACACACACACGCACACAGTGTAAAGTTCCATGAAGCCTCCTGGATCCTTGTCCCATACTGTGTTCCCAGTGCTTGACATATGACAGCACTCAACACTATTGTGACTGCTGATGCTGAAGAAAATCATATGTGAGGCTGGTATTATTGGAACTAAGGGTAGGAGGGCAGCCACACTATCTGGAAAGATAATGAGCCCCCCACTAAGGACACAAGGGTGCTGTATTAGACTTTCATTGCTGGGACAAAATGCCTGCCATACACAACAGTACAGGTTTGTTTTGGCTTATAGTTTCAAAGGTTTTAGTCCATGGTTAGCTCTCCTCTAAGACAAGAACATCATGACAGAAGGGCACGGTAATGAAGAGCTGCTCACCTCATGGCAACCGAGAAACAGACAGACAAGAAGCCAAAGAGGAAGGAGTAAGAGACTAGGTATCGTTCCAAAGGTCACAGCCCCATGACCCACCCAGGCATATCCAGAAGTGTGCTTTACTAATCTCCTAGACATCTCTCAAGCCAATCAAGCTAACACTCAAGATTAACCATTACAGTTGGCTTTTTCAAATCAGTAGATATTAAGCAGCTGCAAATACCTAATGAGAGATCTGAATAGCTACTATTTCCAACTGTCAGAAGGGAAGCCAGAGCTAGGACATACCTTTCCATCACACAGGCCCTAAGGTGTGCTAATGAGTGGGTGAAAAGGAGATTTAGTCTCTTTAATCTCCATCAACACTTCCACCTACCCCCACAGTTGTTTACTTTGTGAATAAAGCAAAGAACCAAGTCTCTAGTGCCCCTCCCAAGCAAGTCACTGCCTCAAAATCCCTACTCTGTTGATATTTAGACTGCCGCTGTCTCTCCCCTGACTCACAGTCTTCTGTAAGATAAGCCTGCCTCTCATGGGTAGGTCTGAAGAAAGGTCAGCCCAGGCACCCAGGGACTGAGACCAGCTGTGACACAGTAGGACCCCCAGAGCTGAGGCCAGCACAGAAAAGGGAGGCTGACCAACCAGATATTGGACTCAAGTTTGAGGAAAACATTTTTCTATAGGGTCAAGAGCCCTTCCCACTCCAGCTAACCTGCAATCTCTTCTGCTCCCACAGGATGAACTGAAAGATATTCCTATATATAAAATTTTACTGTTTCGTGCACATGATGATACTCAGGGGAGAGATACATAGATGCACCCAGAGTCACTCAGTAATGTGGAGGCAAAGCTAGGACTGGAATTGGGGTCTCTTGACACCACCCCTCAATCAGGGGTCTTCAACCATCTCATCAACCAGAGATAAACTAAACTGGCAATCTTCTCCATGGCTATTCGGATATTTGAACATGATAAAACCCAGAAGACAAGTTATAATCTCAGACCACATGATGGGTGACTTGGAGTAGATCTGCCTGACTGTGGGTCCTTCCAGAACTCCTGACATCATTCCATTTGGAGAACGACACCCTGAGGCTGAAAGATGGACTGGACCACTGAAAAGGCACACTCAGGTTTTCTTCTCCTGCTTGCAGAGGCAGAAATGAATTCTGAAGCCCCACCAACTTCTGCTGCTGAGCCCATCATCTTGCCTGTAAAATGTCCCACTCTTTTTCACATACACACACACACACACACACACACACACATTTATCCTTTTACTGGACCCAAGATACAAATGTGTAAGGAGAAGCATGTGTTTATAACAGACTGGTAGGAAATACAAGAGCTCTGGGCAACATAACATTTGCAATGCTCTAGTCAAGCCCCCCTCCTTTTAAAGAGCAAGGAACAGAGGCCTATAAAAAGGATGCAACCTGGGAGAAGTTGAGAGTTACCTCAGCTATTCACAATTACGTCATTAGCCTGCCCTCTGCTTGGTGTCCAGGGAAAGTGATTTAAAAGATGTGTACCATGTTGAAAAGGGAACCTCAGCATACGGCTTAATAGGTGCCTCTACCAATAAGCCCATTAGCATTTCCCAAGTAGGCCCTTATATATCACCCTTCTAGCCCCATCATCCATCAATTGGCTCAAAACAATCAGAACATCGTTCAAGCCATGGTCTCATTGACTATCATGACCCATCTTGGTAACTCATCTATTTCTTTATCCCAAAGCTATTGGCATGCAAGTCAGGTTGGTAGGTCACGATGGGAAAATGGACACAGTTAGCTAGAAGACCCTATGGAAGGGACTTCCTACACACCAGGCTGCTCCTGATACAAAAGAATACACAGGGACTACACATCCTTTTCTTGTTCCTTGCATAAGGTTAATGTATTTTCCCACTTGGCTTCCTTATATCTGGGCAAACTGAGGCTTAACGCCTTCCCCAAAGTCAACAGGCAAGTATGTGGCTGAGAATCAAGATGGAACTTCAAGTTGCACAGCTTCTAAAATGTCAACAACTATGCTATGCTCCTTCCATAGTACAGTTCAAAAAAATACCAAGTAGACTTAGAGTCAGGAGATATGAGTACTTGGTATGGGCTCTTGGGTGTGCACACTTCTTATACTGAGACTTTTCTTCCCCGATGAAATAAGAAAGTTCACCTGATTTTCAAAAGTGCCAACTTTTCTTTAATTTATGATTCTCATCCAAAAGAACACTTACTTCACTCTGAAATGCCTCTGAAACTTTTTTCAAGCTATCACTAAGAAACTGGTTTCTTTTAGTAGATGTGGTAAAAGCTACAGCAATTCAGCTCTTGCAAAGGATAATTAGAGAAATGAGTAAGTCAAGTGAAAACCTGCTGCCTGGTCTAAGCATTAGCAAATCAAAAATATAGATTGGGGTTGCATGAAGGGTAAGCAGGTGATAGGAAACAAATCTGAAGGATACTAAGGTAACTCCTGAAGTAAATAAGCAAAAAGTAAAGTGCTGTATTATGCCCCCAACTCCCAAATCAGGTGTCCAATGAGCCCCAATCACCTGACTTTGCCCTAGCTTGCCAGGTTCAGAATCCATGCTCACAGGAACTCTTACTAACTGCTCACCACTCTGGAAAATACATGCCTTACTTTCCAACCTCTGTGCCTTTGCTCAAGCCAAGTCTTCTACCTAGAGTGCCTGCTCAAAGTCCATATCTCAAATGCAGACCTCCACATGTCCATAAAGCTATCTTGGTCACTGAACTTCCAAAGCTTTTGTACAGCACTAGTGGAATGTAATAGACTTGTGGCTTGTTCATACATTTACGTTTGTCAGTTGCTCCTGCTAGAATGACAGAGCCTGAAATCACAGGCCATAATATATGATTCAACTTTAGAACTTCCCAAGACTAGCACCAGACCTTGGCCAATAAGACTAGTGGATGGCTCATAAGAATGTTGTCTCATCTAGTCCTAACCACATCTCCAGAGGCATAGTGGGGAGAGATATTTCCCCTTATGTTCTTGAAAGCCTGTGTGTTAAAAGGGCTCCAGCCACATCCTGGGTTCTCTCTCCTGTTCCCTCAAAATATCCATCTCAGGGGAGCAGGATCATGGCAGACTAGAGGCAACAGCACTCACAAGTGGTCTTAGTTACTTTTCTCATTGCTGAGACAAAATACACAATATCCAAAGTTAAAGGAGGAAGGGTTTCTTTTGGGTCACAGTTTGTAGGGGTTTCAGTTCATAGTCAGCTGGCTCCAAGGCTGAGTGGCATGGCAGAGGGAAGTCTCAGAGGAGAAACAGTTCATGGCAGGCAGAAGGCAGCAAAGCAGTGAAGAAGCAAAGAAGAAGCAGAAAGCAACAATAGCAGCCTTCTTTCTGTCTCTTATATTCTATCCAGGGTACATATCCCAAGGGCAGGTAGCACTCACACTCTGGGTAGGCCTTCCCATTATTCATATCCAGAACTATGCCAAACCAATCAGTGGACTAATTTAGTAATCACACACCCTTGATCCCAGCATCACACATTTAAATCCCAGCATCACACACTCTGGATCCAACCACTTCTAAAATGTCCCACCTATGACCACATGAGGCTACACACAAGCCATCTAGACACCACTATCTAGACATAAGCCATAACACAAGCCAATCTGGGATATTCATCCTAACAGGTATGTAGACTGCATGAAGAAATAGAGGTACCATTGGAAATTTCTGGAATACAACTTAAGCAAACCAATGACAGGTTAAAGCCAGAATACTGGTCTTTAGAATAAATTAAAAATAGAAATATCACACTGATAATGAGCATATGGCAACTCGGTGGAGAAAGGCAGCTTTCCCCTTTGCAGGGCTGAAAGTGAAAAGTGTAAGTATACTCTTAAGAATGTGGACTCTACATCACGTAGTTTAAAAATTGTGCTGAAACTCAAAAAAAAGCACACTCCACCACTGAACAGATACACAGCCTGAGCAGAAAGGTGATATGAGTTCTGCCAAATGACTGAACATAGAAAATGTAATTTTGAGCATTTCCCAGTGGATTTAAACAATGCCAGGATGAGATGCCATTTTAGATGTTCCCTTTGTCTTGATGGACTGCACAGGAAATAGAGTTAGGGTCAGGATGGGGAGCCACCCATTCCCTTGGCAGGTGGAGCAGAGGAACAGAAAC